AACTATAGTATCATGGGCCCCAGAACCCTATTCTAATTGTTAAGGCCCCTGCGTCTGGAATGCTCAGGGCTTCGGGCTTAGGGATAGGGTCCAAGGTTTGGGTTAAGAGCTTCTGCGGGCAAGCTCTAAACCCCTTAGCCCCTCAACCCTAAACCCTAAACCCGAAGCCCCAAAACCCAAATCCTAAACCCTAAGCCCCGAAACGTTAAACCTAAACCCTAAAGAAGGGGTTTGGGTTATATAGGGCTTCTTTTTGAACTGAAGGTCCCTGATTCCTGCACGCACGGCGCGAAGATTTCTGCGTCCACTTAGGGGTTTAAGGTTGATTTTGTAACGACCAGCTGTAGCCATCTGGACCTCGTACTTCAACTTGAAGGTTCTCAAGGGTTCTCCTAAATATCTAAACGGTTCCATGTATCTGCGGTTTGCGGCTTTCCCAAAGCCAGTAGGACCACGCCATCTCCATTGCCATTTGTCCCGAGACGACCCTCAGACAAGACCGGCAATTTTCAGCCATGGTGAAAGTCATAGCCGTTGATCTAATCACAGGTATCGTGATCCTCATCCTCATCCTCATCATCATGATAACCAGCATAAGTATCGTAGTCAGGGACATGAGCATAAACATGAAAGTTCTACAGTCCAAAGTCAGCTTTGTAGCCAAAACCCTAAACACTAAACCCAAAGCCCTAAACCTGTTAAAACCTAAATCCATGAAGCCCTAAACCGAAAACGGAAACCCCCAAACCCTACACCCTAAACCCTAAAGCCGAGACCCTAGAGCCTAAACCCTCAACCTACAACCCCAAACCCTCAACCCAAAACCAAAAACCCGGAAAGCCTGGACCCTCATAACCTGTGCAAGATCCGGCTGAATTTGACCAAGCGGGGCCACCCGAAGAATGTTGACTGGAGGAAGATAGCCAGCGGCTCAGTTTCAGGGTTTAGAGCTTAGAAAACGTGTAAAGGTTTAGGGTTTAGGGCTTAAGGTAAACTCGTAAAACAATTATCTTGACCCCCCTATACTATACAAAGCCCCTATAAACCCCTTGAAATATCTGTACAACCCTTTCAAAGGAGCCCTTAAAGGGACCGCTGCTCTTGTGCCGGTCAACTGAAGACAATCCAAACCGTTCCAGGTGGGTAGTTGTCAAAATTATGGTCCCTTTGGGGTACCCTAAATAATAGGTGCCGTATTATGATAAGGACCCAAAAAGGGACCATAATTTTGACAACCACCCAGGTAAGTTCAGTTGGTGCAAAGAAGAAGCCAATAGGGCGGAATGCTTTGAAAGTCGTGGAGCTGTGGTATCCAGGTGGTGCCGTTGTTGCTCTTGTCCAACGCACCTTGAAGGAAGATGTAAAGCTGACGGCGGATCTGATGGCGCTTCATGGACCCACAGAAACCACTCCGAGTAGTCACGCCGAATGCCGCCGCAGTCTTGACGTGAGTCACGCTATACGCCTCAACGTGACCTTCACGAGGTCTCAAGAAGTAATATAGGGGCCTTAATAATAATTAGAGTAAGGTTTCGGGGTCCATTATACTATGATTATTCTAGTAAGTAACCCCCCTCCCCGCCAAACACTACAGGTAATAACTAAGGCCCCTATATTTGGGTGGAAAACGGGGGGTCACGATTCGAGAAGTCCGGCCCGGTGACAGGAACCCGGGAAAAGGCCAGAGTTGGCAGCGCACTCGATACCCTAAACCTCAAACCCTAAACCCTGAACCCCCTAATTAGGCCCTAAACCTTAAACCATGCTGCGCATGGTCCTCGAGGCCTGAAGCTGAATGCCTACATAGGTTCATTCAGGAAGCTGGCAAGAGCTTGGGCATCTGCCAGGGGAGAAGGCCAAGGACGGAGCCCCTTTTCTAGCTCTTCTCCAAAGAGCCGAATACCCCTTAATGAAGGAATATA